TGCGTGAAATTTCTAACTGTTTTCCAATGTTTGAACTATTTTTGCATAGACTAAGGTACAAAGCATAGAAAATCATTAACAGACAATCGTTCGATGGACTGAATTGCACAAAACGCATGATCGCACCGGCTAGTCTGGTGGGCGTTGCCATTTTTTTTTGTCTACAGTAAGGTTTTAGATGTTGTGCCCAAGCTTATCAGCTTTAACTCAGCATCCAGTTTCTTGTTGAATGTCATAAATCCTCGATCCACCTCCCCCAACCTTTAATACAATTCTCACTTCTCTCCAGTTCCTATCTTCAAACAAGGCTTAGCCCCTTCCCCATCCCTTCTCTTTCGTTACAACCCTCGAGATCTAAAACCGCACCTCGGATTTCTCCCTCTCTTTCACGTACCCTTACTCCATCATGCTATTTGAAGGAGGCATACCACAGTCATCGCAGATCGTCTTAACTCTACCGAGCCGAGTTTTAATAGTTATCCAGGTTTGGTACTGATTAGCTTGCTTTCAGTAGTCGTTTTTCGGGGAGTGGTACCGGAGGTATCGCGCGTTCCTGGCCTTACTTAAGGCGATGTTTGGCCCGCAGGCAGTCTCCGTAGTGTTGTGAACGGAGTTCCTTTCGCAAAGATATGGGGCGCGAGGATACCGAATCTCTCAGCTCCACCATTTCTAGGAATCTAATTCCTTTCATAATCAAAACCAAAAAAAGAGCGCAAGATATTAAATCTTAATATTATTTGCTTTTTTTTCCAACATTAAAATATTTTTTATTATTAAAACCAGTCGCTAAAGCTAGCAACAGCTATATCTAATTGGGGCTAATAGTACGAACTGGATGTCGGTTCAGTTGAAGTAGAAAGAGGGGTGTAAAATTGGTAGCTTATGTCCAATAACGAAGTGAATGTGTAACAACTGTGTGTGTGTATGTGTATGTATGTATGTATGTATGTGCGGTATGTGGTCATTGTGACGCATAGACTAGCTAGATATTTTTATGCGTTTTTTGCGTCTGTACAATGCAAAAACACATATTGTCGAGGATTGTCTGTGTGTGTTCTGTACATACGTCTGTATCGACTTTTCATCTCGAAACCCATAAAAACTACAAGGCTAAAACTTTGAGAACTTAACTTACATGCACATACGGCCCTCATTCCCAAAATGGGCGCCCTTACCTACGTGTTCCCCACGCACGGGCCCATGAAAGTTTTTTACGGGCAAGTTGCTAACTCAAAAACCTGAAAAGCTAGAAAGCTAGGATTTGACAGGCCTTAATGAGTTCAAACCCAGCGCCCAGTTATGCGTAATCCTCACTTACGGGACCATAAAAATTTTTTGCGGGTAAGTTGCTAACTTGAGAATCTGAAAAGCTAGAAGGCAGTGAGTTTGAGGGAATGTTCCCATTCACATAGGTATTTATAAGTTCAAACCCGGCCCCCAAGCTTGCGTAGTTCCTACGTATGAGCCCGTGAAGTTTTTTTGGGATAAGTTCCTAACTCGGGAACTTAAAAAGGTAAAAAGCTGGAATTTTAAAGGGATGTTCCACGTCAACGTACAAACTTATGACTTTAAACCTAGCCACCAGATATGAATGGTTTCCATTTGCGATCCCGTCAAATTTCTTCACGGGTAATTTGCTAACTCGGGAGCCAGGAAAGCTTGGAAGATGAAATTTTAGGGGACTCTTTTCTAGTCCTGGCGGCCAGTCTCAATTCTTTTAGCTCTAAGTATCTGCCGGTAGCAACAAAAACCTGCAGGGAACTGGCCAAAAAACGCATCTTCGCATCGGCAGTCGGCGCGCTGGTTAATTATTGCCATTATTAAGTGCAGTAGTGGAGAAAAAGCAACGAAGACAAAACCACCTCTAACGAAGTACGCGGCTCCTGTCTGGCGCATACGAGGTTATCATGAAAGGGCGAGAGCGGTTATGTGATAAAAAAGAGAAACAACGGATGGATAAAGGTAATTTTCGGATGGTACACAGCTGAGAATAAAAAAACACAAGAAAAACCGTTAGTGAAGTGGAAGAATCCGCTTGAACGACTGTTTGGAATTCTGGGGTCAGAGAGACCCAACATGGAGAAGAATGGAGAAGCTGCCAGCTGCATCACTGGCAAGAAGAAATATCGCGATGACAGAGTTCAGAATAAAAATAATTGTCATACGGTGGGTATCTTGTCGGAACTTGTTCAAACAGTGGAAAACAGCTAGACACCACAGTGGTGTAATGAGATATTGAGGTGTTGTATCACCGTCAGGCAGGTTGAAAAATTGCAGTAGAGGAATTGCAGGAGGAAGTCTAAATAGCGCGTTCCTTAGTAATAAATGTTTTTCTTATCTAATAATTTGAACTGAATAACTTTTGGCCCATTTCCCTATTTTCTTTTTTCGTATCTCTTTCCTCCCGGGGAATGAATTAGGAGAAAAGCTTACACTACTCATCATGATTGCGGGAAATTTTGGCGGGTAAAAAACACTGCCCACAATTATGGGCCAAGCTTACATACCACTACGAGTTGGCATTTTAGTTACTACGTGATACTGCTCCGTAACGGCATCCATCATGCATTACGTAGTCCAGGCAAACCTCGGGGAAGAAAAACAGGGCAGGCTGAGTGAGAATAGCTGAAACGCCTTACAGGAATAAAAGATGCAAAATAGAATGAGGCATGCGCTGGCGGATCAGCTTCTTATATATGGTGGTGATGAGCCTAAGACGTTAGCCAGGAGACCGACCGTC